CAGCTACGGTGCGTTCCTCAAGCCATTTCTGAGCAAAAAATAATTTCAAACTATCCCATTGCTCTAACAATCTATTTACAACAGATAGTAGCGATAACCATCGCGTTTGAGATGGGTGTAGCAATTTATGCACTTTTGTATTCATAAAAATTTGAAATTCAACATACTCTGCTTGCCGTTTGGCACTATGTTTGAAAAATGCATACACATTTCGCGCCAAATCTTCACAACGTCGTGGTATTTCTTTACATGCTTCATTTGCGCACAGATGCATGGAATGACAGACGCACTTTATTATTTGTATACCAGGTAAAGCAGATCGTAATCGACTGGCGACTGAGTTCTGAGCACCCATCATCACATTACAGCCGTCTGACGCGAAACCGATAATATTTTCTAAGGGCACATTACGCTGAGTGAATGTTTCAATAATAGTTAAGTAAAGTGATTCAGCAGTACATCCTCGTGACGACGTTTCTCCTGTAACACTTTTCGCGTGCAGAGGCTCTAATTGCCATAAGCATGTTATAATTTTCTTATACTTTTTATCAAAATACCTAACAACAATGCATATTGTTTTGCAGGATGCAATGTCCATAGACTCGTCAGCCATTACACTGAATTTCTGGTGTTTCAAAATATTCTCTAAGTACACTTTCTGACTTTCACCAATCACATTTTTCACAGTTGCTGTACATTTGTCTCTTTTCATAGCTAAATCAGCCGCTATTTTTGAATCGGGGAAGCAAGATTTCAATACATCCGACAAATGATCCATTGCCAGAAATGATATATTATGTTCAGCCACGAATCCCGCAAGTTTAATTTCAGCCTCAATAACTAAGACGTCTTTGTCCTTTTCACGTGATTTGTAGTAAGAGCTTAAACTTTTTGTAGAAAGTGCAGCCATTTGTCTGTTTTTATGCTTACTATTTGTGACATGCCGTCGCAGAGTTGAAAGTTCACATGATAATTTCACATCGCACTTAGTACACTTCGCTCTATACGGATCATCATCAACAGGAGCAATCCAGTCTTTGAAAAATTCTTCATTCTCCCACTGCTGTCGATATTTTTGTTTGATATGTTTACCCTTTCTAATTTTCTTTGGCGTAGAAGGGCCTTCTCCTTCTGTGTCACTCATCTTGTAAGAGTAGATCAAATCAAATCAGAACAATAAACTATAAAGTAATACTTTCACTAATACCTCCTCGTAACGATTAAAATGAAAATTCATGAAGCACGACCGTGCGCATGGGAGATCCAAATTAAATTTACTGCCAGAGCAGAGTAAAATGAGTAAATACTACACAAGTACAGTACACATCTCATAGTTCATAATGTTGTACATTCATTCGATAATATAAACAAAGTAAATATGTATATCTCTTTCATTCATTACTTCTATCAATGTCAACCATGTATCATGCTATCTTTGTCAGTCTCATAAAAGGAAAGATGGAACGGTAATCCCCGTCATAGACAACTACTCATAAACAACCAGTCATAGACAACCACACTCTTTATCATGAAGGTTAGAGAACAGGAAAACGAAAACGACAGCCACCGAGTCCCGAGCGGGCGGCGGTAAAGAAAAGTAGTGACTGCGAAGTTAGCCGTTTATGAGTACAAGTAGGTGAAGTTAGTTGAATAATGTACAAATTTTCATTTAATTTTTTCGTAGAAAATTTTCATGCTCCGTAAGTTTGTAACTTTTGACAGAAAGAAACATTAAAAATGGAGAAATATGTTATTGTGCGTGTATGTGCAAGTGGTTGAGCATTTGATCGGAAAAATAGACTGAAAATGACTTTTATTGACTACACTTAGTGATCGCAGCGCCTCACGGCCTCACTAATGTTGTCCATATTTCTGGGACACTATTTTCTACGGCGATCGTTCTCCTTTTCTCTAACCTTCATGCTCTTTATTATCACTTATGGGATGACGGAAGTGAAAAAATATCGATATCGAAACAGGTATTTATGTTTTTGTTCATAATTTGCCATCGTGGTTTATCGCAAAGCTGAATTGCCGTAATACTTGATACGGCAATGAAAAGCCTGCCGTATGCCGTATAATCTTTAAAAAAATCGTGGAATGCCGTATATTACGGCAATTGCCGTATCGATCGCAACGCTGGCCCGAGTACGCGCGGCGACTCGCGAATCCACGCGACTCCAGCTGAGCCACAGACTAATATGATGAGCTGAGCGTCGGAGCGCGAATGCGCACGCTTCGACGCTATTTACATAGCAGAAATTTGTACTTAAATAATAGAACAATAGAGATGAATATGCTGTAGGCGGAAAAATATGACGCTTCGCGTCGCTTCGACTCTGCGCCAATGTGAGTTGAGCCTTAGAAAGATACATCATTTTTTTAAATTAACATTTTGCCCGACTTAATTAATATATTGCATTGCTAATATGCTTGTCGAATTTGGTAGGTATACCATAATATACAAGTACGTCACGCCAGTAAATATGGCAGAATTGAACTGTCAAAAACTTGGAACCTTGAAAATGATATTATGTAATAAGTAAATTATGGTACAGTATATTAAGTATGTTTACCTACACATATGAAAACTTTGAAAAGTATAATTAACGATTAGTATTTTCAAATACATAAAAATATACAATTTGTATATGAAGTATAATGTTCTCTAGACCTAATTTGGGTCACAGTGTAGGATAGGATTATACCTCCAAAAGTGTATACGCAAACACAAGTGCGCTATCTATTCTCTTACTCTCGTAGTCCGATGGGGGAGCATTTCTACACGAACGGAGAAACATCAGACACAAGTGCGACCGCTCAATTATATTAATTTAAGTTATAATCAGTAAGAATACAGTTACATTTTATTTAAAAAAAATACTTTTTTTTATTTAAACCAATAGTGTAACAAACCTTCAATCAAATTTAATAAAAAAATCTTTAGTACAACCCATATTTCATAGGATTCGCTTAACTAAATATTTAAAAGAGGATGTCTTGAAGTGACTGTGACACATCTATCACAGCACAGCCCAAGCCGCTAGTTAACGTAGAAATCTGAAAGTTGGACAGTAGCTGCCTTTTGTTGTATGGGAAAAAATTGTTAATGGTATTTTATAATTTATTAGCTGGGGCGAATAATTTTAATTGAAAATAATAAAGCACGTAAAATAGTATGTGAGGGTAATATGGTCATCCGGTTAATATAGTCAATTTCTTATAATTCAAAATCTACAGCCTTGTTTGCATAGAAGGCTCTGTGATACGATAGCTCTTCATCAGTCAATCAAACAATAAAAGATCAAAAGGGCGCTTCTTTATCGTCGCCATTTTGACAGTTGACATTGTAGTGAATAATTTAGTCGATTTTAGAATTGTGTACTGCACAGAATAAATAATAATAATACGTTAGGTTAGGTAACAAACCACTGACGCAGTGTTTTGTGTATTAGTATAGGTAATATTCTAGAAACTGATAAACTTTTATTAAAAAACAACTTCTGAATTAAATTACATTGTGGAAGAAAAAACTTTACCTCAGTGTCAACTGGCGACATCTGGTGAGCAGAAAATTATTAGCCCTCATTGCTGCCAAAGCTTGTTTGCTCATTTTTCTGTTATAGTATAGGACTTTGTGTTTTGCCTCTGTCCTCCCTCCTACTAGTTTTGGTTTTATAGGGCAAAGCTTAGGTTGACCGTATTACCCTCACGTACCTTACATATCCATTTTTTTTCAAAGCTTACCCGTGAGGCCTTAAAACAAGGGTGCAAAGTTTGTATGAAAAATAATTTATTCGCCCATCCCAAAACCACTAGACCTAGAAGCAGGATAATTGGGACAACAGCTACTTTTTATTACAAAAGCATCTACCAAGAAAGTATTTTGGAAAATTCAACCCTTAAGAAGGTGAAATATGGTGTTACAATTTCTTTGAAACTTTTTATTTTCGAGGCGGTTGACTCGAAACTTAGTCAAAGACTAGATAATAAAGTCCTTTTAATAAAACTTACCCGTGAGGCCTTAAAACAAGGGTGCAAAGTTTGTATGAAAAATAATTTATTCGCCCATCCCAAAACCACTAGACGTAGAAGCAGGAAGCAGGAACCGCTAAGTGAGTTAAAGTCTCTTAACGGTTAGCCACCGTAGAGTCTATATCACCTGAGGATGCCTCGTGTAGAGGCGAAACACGTGTCGTATTATAGTCAGTGGTGTGTCTTGCCTAGTGTAGTGGTGTTGGGAGTAGCGGTGCTGGGATTAGTGGTGACGGGGATAGTGCACGTAATTGAGTAAGATTAAGATACATCATTTTATTTTATAACGCGGATATTTGCGAAGTAAATTTTTCTAAAAGCTTTTATATAATGGATTTCCGCAAAGTAACGCCTGATTCTATTAATTTTGTTTACATTATTCCAGTCCAGTGATCCAGCGAGAATCAAGTCCAGTTCTGGACTGGAACTGTACCGTCTACATTATTCCAGTCATTTAGAAGCCGTAGAAGTGAGAACACTACTACTAGTGACAATGATTTCAAGATGAGATCAGTTTCGATTTACCATTGTTAAATCCTTTCTTCTTCACAGTCGGCAAAAACAACCAACACGTGTTTACTATTCAATTGTCGTGTCACCACTGGAATAGCACTGGATTGGCCGTCTACATTATTCCAGTTGCACTGGATTGGTCGCACTGTAGTAGATTCAAAAGTAGACCGCCAATCCAGTTACTGGACTGGAATGCTCACTGGATTCAGTGCATTCCAGTGCCGGTTTACATTTTTCCAGTAAGTATTCCAGCGCAGGATTCGATCACTGGACTAGAATAATGTAAACCGGGCATAACTCATTTAATCATCTATCCACGCATAGCCCAAGCCATTTAAGCTAAGCAAGCCAAGCTAACGTAGACATTTGCAATTTGGACAATAGCTGCCTTTTATGATTTAGGCATCCACTAAGAAGGGGTTTTTAGAAAATGTGAATAAATAAAACTTTATGGTGTATAATAAAATTTTATTGTCAAGTAAAACTTTTTAAATTGCAAAAGATAGTTTTTTCTCTAAAATTACCTATAGAACTACATAATATAGACTATTTACAATAATTTGGTAACATTTTTGTGTTACTTTGGGTGCGTATATTTGTAAAAAATAAACACCAAATTATATTATTATAATAACATTGAGCCTTATATATAAATACTAACTAATAATTACGTCATAATTTTAAAACCCGAACATCACATACCTATTTCTAAAATATACATTTTTATATAAGTAAATATTATATATTATATAATATTCTCCTGTTTGGTATATTTGTCATTACATCATTGACAATGCCCAATTAAAAACTAAGGCTTAACTGCGGGAAGTAAAGACTGTAAGAACCTCCGAAGGAGGCGGAGTTATAGCCGAAATAATTTGGTTTTTGGCCATTTTGACCCCCTAGGAGTGTAATGAGAACTTTTTGGCACTATTAAACCATGACCCCCATGACATCCTCTACGTGATAGGCTATTCAAACTGACTAGACCTAAAGTTTGAGTCACCCCCCCTCCAACTCATTTCTAGTCTTTACTTCCAATTATCTGTGGTTGTCGCATTTGTTTACAAAATCCCGCCATATTAAAATCAAAATCAATTAAAAAAACAATCAAATCGATTCTCTTCAGGTTGTTCACATTCTGAACGTCAGCATTATTATGTGTACATTTACAAATTATAAAAGTCAGCAAATAAGTGCTAAGATGGACCATAAGGCGTACAGCGCGAAGGTGAAGAAAATGATTCGAACTATCTGATGGAGATAGTATAATCTGTAACAAAAGAACAATTAAAAGTTATTAGGAGTTTTGGCGGGTACTTGTACGGCGGCAGATTACTGCACCTGTATAATTGTTTAAATAATGGTTTGAAGTGGATTTTGTTATGTAAAAGTGATGCGTTTTTGTGTACTTATTAAATGTTTGTGCATGTGAACTATTAGTGCAAATGGTGAAACAAGTTCTCCGATGGTGATGTGAATCTCAAGATAAGCTGTCTGTCTGTTTAGTCGCCTTAACATACTATCGCCAACTGTCTGCTGGCTCAAGTTGGCATCAAAATCTCCCAAAAACTACGCAACCTGACACATCAATATATTGTAAAGCAGTGTACTATAAATGATTATTATCACTTGATACTGAGATAAATGAAGACATAGCTTAAAAGACAAGCATCCAAGTCCGAAATCTTAATAAAAATTAAAGTTATATAAAGGTAGTGTTCGGCAGCGAAAGAAAACATCGTGAGGAAATCTACATGTAGGAGTAAAATATTTAGAGAACATGTCAAGTCTGCCAACGCAATCGGACTCGCGCATGAAGGGTTCCGTACCATCGGTACACACGTTTCTAGTAGGGGAGCCCGTTTTAATTTATTTTAATTTTTATTATTTAATGTAATGCAATAGAAATACACATTCTGTGAAAATATTAACTGTTTTATTACGAATCATGAGATATAGCCCGCTGACAGACAGACAGACGTACGGACAGCGGAGGCTTAGTAATAGGGTCCCGTTGGTTACCCTTTGGGTACGGATCCCTGAAAAGGGTACCTGGCTCTTTCGTTTTTCTTTCTTATTAATAATACGAGTCACAGCAGCATTAAGCTGATATTTTACGCTGATATTCTGTGAGTTGCATCCCATAAATGTCTCACTGCTGTACACCGGCCTCCCTCATTTTGAGATTTGAGGGTAATGAATCAATTATTAAATATATAATAATTTTCTTCCCAGGACAGAGGGTTTTTTTTTCGAACCAGTGGTAAAGTAAAAAATGACTTTCAATAAGAATTACACATGTAATGTATATTGAATTAAAAAAAAATATTCTATTCTATTCTATTCTATACTTTATTCCTTATATAATATGGTGGTTTCCTTACGAGGTTTTCCATCAGTGTCGAAACATGATAAATTCACTCTTGCTATATTATAATCCCCTTTTCTTACATGATATTATTGCCATCTATGAACGGATGCGTTCATAACAGGTAATAATTTAACTTGTACGAATTCTGTCAGATCTTACCTTTTCCATTTGATCCTGGCCCTCGGAAGTGTATCATCACTTTCTTTGAACAGGTACCGTCTGATGCCGGCCAGGTAGTTATTGAAATAATCCCGCCAATCTATTTCGCGCATGCTGAATGGAAAGAGCTAGAAATAAAAAAATATTTATATTTTAATATTTGCTGATATCCATATAGCTTGAAGAACCGGAAACCTATGGGGAAGAAAGGTTCTCGAGTGATCTGTGTGAATTGATTATATCTTTAGATATAAAAATTACGTGTCACATTGTTTGTCCGCGATGAACTCCTAAACTAATGAACTGATTTCAATGAAATATTTCACACTGTGTGCAGTTTGGTCCAACTTGAGAGATAGGATAGTTTTTATCCTGATAAGTGACCCTCATTTTTTTATTGTGAATTTAAGGATATTTTTTAGAACACATGGTTGTCGGAAAGGGCATTACAACGTCTGCCTGGTCAGCTAGTTTTTATATAGAATAACAGTGACAAACAAGGACACGGTTCATCTGATGGTAAGCGGATGCTGTGGCCTATAGACATCTATATACTTCTATCCACGACTACGAATCAAAATGCCGATGCATTGTCAACCCTGAGGACTAAGATAGAATGCCCCGTTTCCAGTAAAAAGGGTCGCTGGTTCTCTACACTCACCATACGAAACACAGCAGCGTTAATGTGCTATTTTACGCTGGTATTCTGTGAGAGCGTGATCCTTCCCCGGTCGAGCCGACCCATTCGTGCTACAACTATACCAGTAATATAGCTGCAGCATGGCTCTATCACATGGATCTAAGATAATTAATTTTTAACATCTTTAATATGAATACGCACTTGTTTATCCGTATCCGAAGTCTGCTCCCAAAGCTCTCTAGACCGCCGGTTACAGAACTTGATTTCCCGCGTGCAGAAATAGCTGATCACCGATGAGAACTTGTGTATCTTACTGTACACCTTCAGCATTCTTGTTAAGGAGTAACAAAAACAGAAAGGTATTGAGCAAAATAAAGTCTTACAATCTCATTATATTAAAATTAATATTTGTATGTTGGTATTTTATGCGCTGCCATACCGTTCATCAGATTGCAGTAAAACATTATCAACTTATTGTTTACACTTGCGCGAAGGCTATAGGCATAGTACAATTAACGTACACTAGGTGGCGCGCGTATCGTAACGACAATTTATTTGAATATAGAACATTCATTTTCAATGATTGTATTATTTTTACTTATCCTAATTCCTAATTAAACAATATAACTCTTTTAAAAAACTATACTTCCATAATTATTTCTTCTGCGTCAGCAATGCGCTGGGTACCAGCCAGTAGGAAAGTAAAATAAACAGACGCGTACTTATATAAAACTAAGGTGAAAAAAAATATACGTGAGTGTCGAATTCCTTTTTTTAATTTCCTAGAACAAAATTCCTTTCGTAGTATATTATTATTGATAAAAGTATTATATTATTGATTAACAAATACAAATAAATGAATTACTAGCGTCTATTAAAATGAAGCGTCATTAAAAATAATATTTCTTTCATGGCAAGATAAGACGAAGTGCGAGGGAGATGGATATTATGCCATCTCGCTCACACTATTAGGCGGGAATATAATATATTTCCACCTAATAGTGTGAGCGAGATGGAATGGATGAAAATAAACCTGCCAAGTTGCACTACTAGGCGGAAAAAGAATCGTACCACCTTGTGAACAGACGTTAGAGAGATTTGAACACTCATGTTATTAATTATTATAAGGGTGATAACGAGCTAACAGGTCTACCTGATGGTAAGTTTTTTTATAGAATAAAGGTGACAAACAAACACACAGTCCACCTGATGGTAAGTGGTTGCTATGGTCCATAGACATCTACATCTATCTTCGATTACGAATCAAAACGCAGATGCGTTGTCACCCGTGAGAACTAAGATGGAATGAATCGTTTCCAGTAAAAAAGAGTCTCCGGTTCTCTACACTCACCATACGAAACACAGCAGCGTTATGCTGCTATTTTACGCTGGTATTCTGTGAGAGCGTGGTCCTTCCCCGTTCGAGTCTACCCATTCCTGCTACTGCGTAAAAACTGTACTACAATGTTTGTGCGGTGGCTACTGTAGCCCAGATGCGTTGTCACCCTGAAGACTATACTGACCTTATATACCTTTCAAATTGGAAGCCAGCCGTGGACGCTCTTCTGTTATACCTACAGTAGAAAAGGTAAGAGTGTGCTACTAACCCAGTTAGATTTCTAAGTTTAAGAGGTTATCAGCCAACCTTGATAATTACCAATTGTGCAGACAATCTGCCGCAGTGATCAGAATCGACCAGGGAACATCTTTCAGTACTTACTTGGGTTTCTTCCCGACGCAAACGGCGAGCCCGTCCACCAAAGCGGCGGGTATGATATGAAGGAAGAAAATGTAGATCTGGTTCATTACTGCATACTTCGTTAGTGTTAACGAAATATACCTGGAATAGATAACGAAAAGGAAATTAAATAGTTATGCTGCTGCTTCTTCGTCTCCTGGTAAAAGTCTACTGATCTTCTTTTTTTGATTTAAGCTGACTTATAATCATTTAATTATTAATAGACTATAGAATCAGGCGTTATATTTAGTCAAAATCCATCATATTAAATATGTTAAAAATTAAGAAATTCTTAGCGGTCAGGCACCACCTGAGGATGCCTCGTGTAAACACGTGTGGTATTGTCGTCAGTGGTGTGTCTTTCCTAGTGTAGTGGTGTTCGGAGTAAAGTAAAGTAAAGTTGCCACCTATTTACGTCCCACTGCTGGGCACAGGCCTCCTCTCATTTCTGAGAGGGTTTTAGGGCAAGGGAATGTTCACTGCTCTGCCCCAATGCGTGTTGGCGAACTTCACATGTCTTCAAAATATTTTTTTTTCTTATTTCGCAGACATGCAGGTTTCCTCACGATGTTTTCCTTCACCGCCGAGCACGTGGTAAATCAGCACTTAAAATTGCAACTAACAATTTCATTGGTGCCGGCGGGGATCGAACCCGGGTTGCTCGAGTACTGTGAAGCTTACAGCGAGCGCTAACCATCTGAGCTACCACAGCTCTTGAGCTACCACGGTTCGGAGTAGTGGTGCTGGGATTATTGGTGACGGGGACGGTGCACGAAATGGAAAGAGGGCAGGAGGTGCTCTTCAAACTATATATCATATAATTTTATTACGCTGGTCTTAGCTGATTATTTTTAACATCTTTAAGATTAACAATCACAGTACCAGACGTGTATCACCGGTCCGAGCCTGAATTTCCACATCATGTATAGCGTAAATAATACTTACGTTGAGTGGCTAGTAGGTCTCCAAAATAGCAATATTGTTTTTATTTTATTTTATAGTCACAATATATTGACCCTTTTGATATTCGCCTAGTGAAAAGTAATTTGTGTAAAAATCACGGAGGCTAAACTACCTAGTGAACGTATTAAATTGATTTTTGTTTACCTACTATAGAAACGCTGTGGAGGTCGTATGATGTATTGTATCTGAGTGTAACCTAAAAAGTTTTACGAAACTAAAAGGAGTTCTATGGTTAAAGTTTTTATTATTAAATATTTAAAAAAAAAACTATCTACCAGCATCAACACTAAGTTTCAAGCGTCTGAACCAATTTTCCTTACACTTTTTTCCAGTATGCTCAGACACCTGTTCCACGGCTAGCTCGAACGCTAGTAGCGCGGAGAAAACTACTTTTTTTTTAAAATACTAGTAATGCTATTAAACATTACTAATATTCCCTATAACCACTTCTGGTAAGCTTAAAATGCTTGTGTTAGAAGTGGTTCACGACAGTAGTAGAATGGCGGATTCGAACCCACGACCTTTCGAGTTCGCAGTCCGCGCCTTGCCATTAGAGTACTGGCGATCAATCTAATTCTTAGGGCTATAGGACCCCCCCCGAACGGGTTCCCGCCTTGTCGTGGCGGGGGGGCTTAGTAGCCGTGGCTTGGTCACCCACGGTGAACAAAGAGGAACCCCTTGGCTGGCCCGTGGTGTAGGGCCGGCCCGAGGTGGCCACTCCGAGTGGGCTTGGGAAGCCCACTTCGGATGTGTGTCGGGGGGCTGCGGTGAGAGGGGAGTCCGCACCCTCTACCGCTGCAGCCGAGGTGGAGTCGCGGAGGAAGAGGAGTGTTGGTATGGCGATGCGCCACTCGCCCTATCCTCCGCGACTCAAACGGGGCCGCACCGTTGATGCGGTGGTGGTGGGGCCGCGGGGGGAGAGGAGTGTCGGTATTGCGAGGCGCCGCTCTCCCTACCCTCCGCGGCCGAAACTTGGTTGGCGGCGGAGCCCGAGACCAGATCCGCCGCTGGGGCCGGGAAGGCCGGTGCTTCTGAGTGCTAGTTTTTCCTGGCCCCATGGCCTTCGCGCATCGGACACGGGGGCGTCCGTTGCGCATTAGAAATTGGAGGCCGAGGAGGAGGGCGCACCATGTGTTCTGGTGCGCCTTACCTGAGAAGGAGATGGGGGAGGAGTGCCAGCGCAGGTGGGGCCGCGGAAGTGTGCGAAAGCGTTCCCGTGGCCCGTTATGCTGTTCAGGCATTCTTTTGTTTTGGGCGCTGAATGCGCGTGCGCGTTGCCGCAGTGAACACTTCTGGTAAACATTTGTATCTATCATAAACATTTGTATATGTGATGTTGGTACTGTTAGCTCTTATAAGGCTCGTATAAGGCTCTTACAGCTTCATGTGAGGATGATGTTGGTTTATGATTTGGTATTGTTACAAATTATCATGTCCTCTCTCTTGAGGTTTTTTGAACTATCTAACCGCTGTCCGAGTGGGGGTAGGCGAATCCCGGCCTCTGAGTCGATGTTCTGGACGGTGAGAAGCATTGATATTACTTCGATTTTGTTCAGAAATTGACACCGGATATCCCGTGAAATCAAAGTGAAAAAAACTAGCGATTAAAATCTATTATATCGGATTTACAACACGTGCAACACGTAAGGCAACCCTGTGGTAGCCGTTAAGTGAGTTATTAGAATCAGTACTTAAACGTACAGGAATAACATTACTTCAGAAAAGTCAAACATAAAAAAAAATTGTAGTAGTTTTTAAGATCTTAAAAAACTATGGTGAAGTTGGAAAAACATATTTTGCCAACATCCACTCAATTAAATAAAATGACACATCTTACCAGCTTTAATATAATGGATTTCCGCAAAGTAACACCTTTTTTTATAGGATAAGGTGACAAACGAGTACACAGTCCACCTGATGGTAAGTGGTTGCTGTGGCCCATAGACATCTACACCTATTCTCAATAAAGAATCAAAATGCAGATGCGTTGTCACCCGTGAGGACTAAGATGAAATGCTTCGTTTCCAGTAAAAAGGGTCTCTGGTTCTCTACACTCACGTACCATACGAAACACAGCAGTGTTAAGCTGCCATTTCACGCTGGTATTCTGTGAGAGCGTGGTCCTTTCCCGGTCGAGCCGACCCATTCGTGCTACAACTATACTACTAATATAGCTGCAGCATGGCTCTACCACGTAAAAAACCCTAATTCTATTAATTAAACTATACTTTCAATGGGCGAGCTTCACCCTGAATTCAGCCATTGCCTTTTCCGCTTGCGAATATCGTAGAGAATTCTCTTTTTACCATACGTCACAATTTTACCCACAATCCCTTCGTTTCTGTACCTACACAATAAGCAAGGCAATTATGTTAATTCCTGAGGTACCTATTTCAAGAGTTAATTCTACCAATTTAGTGCTAATTTAACAAATGAGCTAATTTTTTGAGTAATCCAACGTTAAACCAAGCAAATTTTTTAGTTGTTTGTTAAATACCGACTTACACCATTATGTACATTCAATTCATCGTTATTTACTTTAAAGTTTTACATAAAAACGTTACCCCCACACTAATTTCACAAGGACAAACATCTAGAACCAGAACAATTATTGTAAACCATACAAATAGACATAGAAATACGTTTTATTGGCACCAATACATTCAAATGGTATTTATAAGTAAACAGAAAACATACAAGATAAGGGACACATAAATAAATAAAAAATCTACGCTATACTTTCCGTGAGCGACGAGATGCCAAAAAGGATTACGACTCAGCGTATGCTATCGCACAGGTACTGCAGCAGCGCTGATTTTAAGCGGAGCTCTGATAAATACTTATTCCGAACGGGATTCATATTCGCGACCCTCAGCGCTGCAACTCATTTCGAAGCCACTACGCTACGCAACCGTCAAACTAACAAGTAGTAATATTAAAAATTTTGTATCACCGACTTCAATATAAATTATTAAGAATAACTCAAAAACTACTGGTCAAACCTTGATCAAATTTATATGGCACCACATGAAAAGCACCAGCTTTCAAATGAAAAAGAATCATCGAAATCGGTTCAATGAAAAAAGTTATGAGTACCTCTTTTTTGATGTCGGTTGGAAACGGACAATGCGTTCGTTAGTCGTATACTTTCCAAACGCAGCATTGATATTGCGTGTTGTCTGTGCTCGGTTAGGGCCACATCGGAACTCATATTTAGAAATTACTCTAATTTTTTAGGTCTCCCTCAAATACTGAATGATAAGTTGTGTTTATTGTGTAATATATATATCTATACAAATAAATAAAATTGAAGTGTCTGTTTGTAATGTCGAAATAACAGCTTTTTACTATATGCATATGAAAGTAGGTATATACGGTACTTATAACAAAAACACGACTTTTCAAATTTTTGTCTGTCTGTCTTTCTGTCTGTCTGTCTGTTTGTTCCGGCTAATCTCCGAAACGGCTGGATTTGGAACGATTTTGACCGGACTTTCACTGGCAGATAGCTGATGTTATAAAAAGTAACTTAGGCTACTTTTATTTTAGAAAAAGAATTAGGGTTCCGCGCAAAAAATTAAAACCCATGAAATCTAATCTTAATTAATTAAGCGCGGGCGAAGTCGCGGGGAACAGCTAGTATATATATATATACTAATATTTCAGGAAGAAACATCTATATCTACAATTTTCTAACAAGTTAACTTTCCCGTTACGAAATCAGTCAAATATTTCAGCTCATTCCAGAAAGAAGTCCTAAATCGTAGACCTACGACCAGAAAGTCAAAAGTTTTGAATTTAGAATGTTATAGTTTTTAATAAAAAAAAGTTTAAACATCAATCTTATTTACGTCCGTGTAAGCAGGCTTAATTCCCATTAAGTATAGAAAATGAAATGCACTATATGTAATTGAATGGGAATATATTAGTATGGAAATATAGACAATAAATCAAATAGTAATAAGGTTGATCAACTTACCAGACGGCGTTTGAAAACGGTTCTTGATCGATTCGCGCCATGTTGAGTTTCATAAAGTCACCCCATGTTATTGGGTTCTCTACTGAACTTACGTAATTAAAAATTGGCGGCTCTGGCGGGGGCGAACTGGAACAACATAATTAAAATATAACGATGTAGGATTATTGATATGATGGTATCCAGAATAATTGTTTTTGATGGTGGTATTGTGGTGGCATATGAGATCCACTAAACGATAGCATCTCATGGGTGTCGTAAGAGGCGTCGGAGGGAAATGCTACAGGAGATAGGCACCAGCATCTTTAGATAACAACGACGGCTGTGGCAAATATCCTCCCTAAGAAGCAATAGAATAGAATAGAATAGAATAGAATGATTTTTATTCAATATGGATTATTACATAATACTTATTGAAAGTCATTATTTTATTTACCACTGGTTCGGAAAATACCTCTGTCCTGGGAAGAACCAGCAAGAAACCCAGCGGGACTTTTTTTTTAAACATAATTTCACTTAACAATAATTTTGTTTATACAATTTTAAATGAATTTTCATAGAACCAGCATGGTGGCGATCACCTTATTCCCAGGGGTTATTTTCATTCATGTATTCCTTGATATTATAATAACCCTTTTTGTACAGTTTTTCTTTAATAAAACTTTTAAACTTGTTTATTGACAAACTTTGAACATGTTCTGGGATTCTGTTGTAAAAGCGTATACATTGCCCCATAAATGAATTACTAATTCTGTGGAGTCTTGTAAGTGGCATTACAAGCTTATGTTTGTTCCTAGTGTTTAAGGTATGAACATCCTTATTCTTATTAAAGCTATTTATGTTTTTATGTACATACATTACATTTTCATAAATATATTGCGATGCCAAAGTTAATATGTTTATTTCTTTAAATTTTTCTCTAAGGGACTCTTTACAATTTAGATTATAAATCGCCCGTACGGCTCTCTTTTGCAAAACAAATATAGCTTCAATATCAGTCGCATTACCCCATAGCAAAATTCCATAAGACATTACGCTATGAAAGTAACTAAAATACACTAACCTAGCTGTCTCAACATCTGTGAGACTTCTAATCTTTCTTACAGCATATGCTGCAGAACTAAGTCTGCTTGCTAATTTAGATATATGGGGGCCCCATTGAAGTTTCGCGTCAATAGTAATACCGAGAAAAACAGTGGTATCCACAAGACTCAACTCCTCCCCATTTAAGAGCGTTTAAGAGCTGTCTCCATATGCGTCTCTACGGGTGACCATAATGAAAGATTGCATAACTTAATGACATATTTATTGTAGAAGAGCGTGTAATACAGTTGACGGGCAACTAGCTACTGTCTGACTGACTGAAAATCTTAGTACTAAGTAGTGAGGTACAATATTATTAAGTATACATATATATGGTAGCTAGATACAACATTACTACTTATGCATGTGTGTGCGCAGCACACCTACATTACTTCCCCCTTTACAAAAAGAATACAAAAACTTAAAACTATATAATAAACACTTGTTAATGCGCTGAAGCGCAGGGCTGTACGGAGATCCCTGTGAAGGGAGCGGCTGCCGCGGCAGGCGCGGGCGCGTGCTGCAGACTGGCGCTAGAGGCGCTTATCATCTGACCCATATTCTGGCCCGACATTGGAACGCTGGCCATGAACACTTGATGGCGAAGCCAGTTTTTGAACTTCTTATTAAACTTCATCCAAATAGTGTACAATATTATTGCTCCCATAAAACTGGCTATCACATATAACCATATTTGAAAATTATCCACTTTATTCTCTATAGTATTCTGAGCCTGAGAAACAATAACTGGTTTTTCTTGATAATTGCCCATAGTAAAAATTGTAAAACTTTTAGCACTAATGCTTCTGCAAAGGAAATATTTCAAATGAAACGAAATACATTATAACTAAACTAACTACCTAAACATAAATGAAACTGCAGTACACGCAAAATAACGCAAAATACAAAACACAATACATCTAAAATTACATTCAATTTGTATTTGTAATGTAACTTGAATAGTCTGAATGAAAATATTCTGCACCTAACAATGCAAATAATACTTTCACATCCATACTAGCTAAGTTGAATATTATTTAAACATGTAATTATATTGCATATATAATACATTTTATGTTAACACTAACTTATATTAAATCGTGAAGGTAATTTAACAATGCGACCACTTCGCGTTGTTTTCACGCTTATCGGGTTGCTAGGGCCGGGCGACGACGATGTCACCGGTGTGGGCGGCGGTAACGCGAACCGTACATGCGCAGGCACCACATCCGCTGCGTTGTCAGCGTTACTGTCGCTTGGCGTTGTTATGTTACCATCGCATTCCTTTAACACATATGCAGGCTTTAATCTGTCAATAGAAATATGTACCTGCCTATCGGGTAATTGAATTAGGTAAACTTTTGAAGCCCTTTTGATCACGCGATATGGACCGTCGTAGGGTGGTTTCAAAGGTTTACGTATTGAATCGTCCCGAACAAATACATATTCACAGTTACGTAAGTCTTTGTGCACAAAAAAACTTTGACAGTTACGTGAATTGTCGGATGTAGGCTTATAACTACGAATAGTATCTCTAATCTTATCTACTAAACAATAGTCGTTGACATTACAGTTGTTCGAAGAATTGCCATAAAAGTCTCCTGGTAGACGTAAGTTTCGTCCGAAAGTTAACTCGGCGGCGCTAACCCCTGAATCGCTGCGGCCGGCCGCGCGAAGCCCCAGTAATACCGTGGGTAGCTCTTCCACCCAAGATCCATGTGACAGGCGAGTCGAAAGTGCTGTCTTTAAAGAACGATGCCAACGTTCGACTGCGCCATTGCTTTGCGGGTGATAAGGAGTAGTTCGAATTCTTTTAACCCCCAACATTTTTAACAGCTGGTTAAAAAGACTACTCTCAAACTGGCGACCTTGGTCGCTAGTTAACTTCATCGGGCAACCGTAACGACAAATCCAACCCTCATATAAATGTTTGGCAACAGTTTCTGCCGTAATGTCGCGTAACGGAAATGCTTCGGCCCACCTAGTTCTCCTATCAATTATCGTGAGTAAGTATCTATAACCATCTGGTGAAATCTCAAGAGGGCCAACGATATCGATGTGCACATGCTCGAAACGATCTACTTCCGAAAACTTAGTCAAATTCGATACCGTATGTCTGTTAACTTTAGAACGTTGACATAGTATGCACGTTTTTGCCCATAAAGAAACATCGCGATTCATACTCGGCCAGAAATACTTTTTAGCTAACATTTTTCGTGTAGACCGAATTCCAGGATGGCTCAAATTATGCAAACTATCAAAAGCTAGGCGTCGAAACTTTTCCGGTAGGTACGGACGAGCTATATTGGTAGACATTTCACAAAAAATAGGCTTGTCTAACATAGGTATAACTAGTTCTTTTAACAAAATATTATCGGTATTTAAACCAGACATAAAATTCGTAATATAACTATCGCTACGCTGTTCATTTGCAATGTCATCGAAATTCAATGCAGTTGGCATAATCACGGCTTCGACGCGTGATAAGGTGTCGGCTACAATGTTATTCTTACCGGTTATATGTTTTATATTTGTAGTGAACTCGCTTATGAAAGCTAAATGTCTCGTTCTCCGAGGCGTTTCGCTTTCATCGCGTCCTACCTTTTGAAATGCAAAAGTTAAAGGTTTATGGTCCGTATACACGGTTATTTCTTGACCTTCAAATAATTTCCGAAAATGTTTTATAGCTAAGTATATAGCGAGCAACTCGCGATCGTAGGTGCTATATCGCTGTTGGGTGGTGGTCAATTTTTTTGAGAAATAACCCAATGGTTTCCAGATATCTCCTTCCTTTTGTTGCAAGACTGCTCCCACGCATGTATTAGATGCGTCAGTCATTATAGCGAGTGCGGAATCCACTCTAGGGTACGTCACTGTAGCGGCCTGTGTGAGACCTGCCTTACACTGCGTAAATGCTTCGTTCGCACTATCATTCCAGACGATAAGAGTTTTATCATTTTTCTTTGAGCTTTTAAGATATTTATTTAATTCTGTTAGATATAAAGTAGCGTTGGGGAGATGAGATCGATAAAAATTAACCATGCCGAGAAAACGTCTTAGCTCTGAAATAGTTTTCGGCTTCGGAAATTCCACAATTGCCTGAACCTTATCTTGCAACGGCCTGACACCTTCAGTACTAATTTCGTGTCCCAAAAATTCTAGTTTTGTTTGTCCGAAACAACATTTTGCCAAATTAATTGAAATTCCATATTCATTAAACTTTTTAAAAATTATTTCTAAATGCTGCCTGTGTTGAACTTCGTTGTCACTAGCGATAAGTAAATCATCTAAATAACAAAAGACAAAATCAAGCCCTTGTAAAATGGAATCCATAAAGCGCTGGAAGGTTTGCGCTGCACCCCTTAAACCGAAGGTCATTCGGGGAAACTCGAAAAGCCCAAATGGTGTTATGATAGCGGTTTTCTCCACGTCACCTAGCGCGACAGGTATAAAATGATAACTTCTATTAATATCTAATTTCGAAAATATATTTTTATCCGGGAGAATAAAAGTAAAGTCATTCAAGCGAGGAATCGGGTATCTGTCGGGCTTTGTTATCGCATTCAGCTGGCGATAATCCCCACAAGGTCTTATATCTCCATTTTTCTTAGGAACTACATGGAGTGGACTAGCCCACGCGCTCTTCGAAGGACGACAGATGCCCAGTTCCTGCATGATGCGAAATTCTTCTTTAACTTTTTTATACCTGTCGGGTGGCAACGGGCGCGCTTTCGCGTGCACGGGGGGACCAGAGGTCTCGATATGGTGGACGACATCGTGTTTCGCAGTTTCTCGGAATGACGCCGGTTTAGTAATGTCCGGGTACTTTAACAATAAATCTTGATACGGATGATTCAAATCAATAGTTTTAACACTAGGTTGGGATACCTTGACAACAGATGCCGAAACATTCAATTCTGTGGTTCTATCTATTAATTTACGCGCGTTTAAATCAACTAGTAACCTGTGATACGCTAAAAAATCTGCGCCCAAAATTGGTTGTTTGACATCTGCTACCACGAATTCCCAACGATAAGGTCGGCGTAAGTTTAAATTTAACACTAGTGTCTTGGTACCATAAGTTACGATTTCACTACCGTTAGCTGCGTATAATTTATATTCACTGCACTGGTTTGCACGGTCTTTTCTCACAGCTGGTAAAACAGACACATTGGCACCTGTGTCGACTAAAAATCTAAGCCCAGAGTTAATATCTGACACACACAAACGATCAAATGGAACAATGGTACAGACCTCGAGATCCTCGGACTGTACCTCGCCGCTCAGTTTTCCGGCAGCTTATGTTTCCACGCGCACGGCTCCGTACACTTGTTTGCCTTCTCCCTGAACCGGTAGTGGTAAAAGCACAAGTAGTTCTCCTTCTTGGGACGGCGGGAACCGCTACGGCGCCGGGACTGCGAACGATGACGGGTGCGATCAGGGGGACGAGACCGCGACCTCCGCTGATCGATCTGGTTCACTGTAGCCTTTATTTTAGCCACCTCAGCCCTCAACAGGGCCAAGTCAAGGGCAGCAGAAGATGTCGGCGCTGGCGCAGCGCAGGTAGTGGCGGCGGCATAGGAAGGCCGCACAGCCTCCATGACGTTATCTGCGACTGCTGCTAGGTTGTCTAAGTCCTTGGAGTCAGACACGGTGAGCACGGCTCGCACCTGTGTCGGAAGACGATTCTGCCACAGCACGCGAAGAGTTTCATCAGGAACCTTATCAGTAGCGAGCTCGCGCATCCGACGGAGCAGCTGGGATGGTTTCTGCTGGCCCAACTCTAGCTCGCTCATAAGCTTCTCGATCTGTCTCGACATTGACTCCTCATAGATGTGGAGCAATCGAGCTTTAAGTGCGTCGTACTTGTGGGTAGGAGGTGGATTTAGTAATATGTCTGTCACTTGCGCGATGACCTCCTTACTCAGCTTGGACACGACTAGGTCAAACTTCGCCTCATCGCTCATCCTCTGCGGTGTGAGGATAGCCTCCGTGCGTACGAACCACACGCGCGGCTGATCCGTCCAAAAGTCCGAGAGCCGGGACTGTAGAGACACTGAATCTACACCTGGCGCCATAATGGGCGGTGGCGCGGGCAGCTGGATGTCCTGGACGAGTGGCACGTTAACAAGCGGCACGTTTTGTGGCGGTGGCGGAAGCGGCACACTCATGTTACTATTATGAATTGTCCGACCGATCACAACACACGCGAAAATTGCCCACTACTGTGTTAATATCACGTCGATCACGTCTATCACGTCGGGGTCACCAGTTTAAGAGCTGTCTCCATATGCGTCTCTACGGGTGACCATAATGAAAGATTGCATAACTTAATGACATATTTATTGTAGAAGAGCGTGTAATACAGTTGACGGGCAACTAGCTACTGTCTGACTGACTGAAAATCTTAGTACTAAGTAGTGAGGTACAATATTATTAAGTATACATATATATGGTAGCTAGATACAACATTACTACTTATGCATGTGTGTGCGCAGCACACCTACAAGCGTATATAATATATGGGGATATATACATATAATATATGGGGAGACCTCACCACTACCGCATCATCATCACACAGTACTGCAGCGCACTTTTGATAGGCTGTAATCAGTGATGGGTTTATAATAAGGCACACTAAGCAATGTACTAGGACATCACCGCAAAGAGAACTTTAAAAAATTAAAAATTTTGTACAACCGACTGCAATATAAATTATTAAGAATAACTCACAAACTATTGGTCAGACCTTGATCAAATTTATATGGGACCACATGTGAAGCACCAGCTTTCAAATATAAAAAAAGAATCATCGAAATCGGTTCACCCAGAAAGAAGTTATGAGGTAACACACATAAAAAAACATACAATCGAATTGAGTTTTGTTTGAAGTCGGTAGAAAATTAAAGCATGTAAATATAGGAACGCTCGCAATCTAAAAACGCATTAACGATCGTTCATAAATGAATTTTATTGCGTTCTTATGTCCATCTACCTAGGATAAAAATGTATGAAAGGGTTATAATAGCAAACTTTACATCATAATATGATATCACGCATATCATATAATGATTGACGCATATTATGTGCATTAAAATATTTTAAATTTCGCGACGGTGAAAGAAAACATTGTGACAAAATATCGTACTTAATATACGTCTGTGGCAGAGACAGGGGTCTAGGAGATTCACAAGGTTAAATTTTTTTGCGAATTACGGCACGGAACGGCAATAGTATATTTCATTACGAGTGCGGAAAGCTAGTGTCTACCCGAGCCGAGGTGCAGCCGAAGGAGAGGGTTGACAGTCGGAACAAGTTGCAATGATGGTTCCGCACGTGTACTGAACAACTACTTTTAATAAAGTTGCGAAAAAATGAAGCAATTTTAATAAAGAATATTTTTGGAAAATAGCGCCAACCGTAAAGGAATATAAGCAGAGATTTTTTTGTTTTCTTCACCCATTCTGGGTAGACAAAGGGAACTATGCCATTACAGCCTTTAGTAGAATTTTGAATGAAATGAAATGAAACCTAACCTTACTCATTGAATCAAATCATTAAATCTGATATTGAAACAAATTAGTAGCTTCTTTTTAGAAATATTTGCATGAATCATAAAAACTTCTATGAATTTCTTTTAGTAAAATCTTCGTGGTTGGTTTTTTCTTTTTAATAGACATTATTTTGACAGTTGGGAAAGAGAACGTACGAGTTCGGAAGAGGTAAAGAAAAAGCACGAGTATGTAATAGCCCACATCTCGAAAGCTATACGTCCCTGCAATACGCCACTTTTTGACTACACTCTATTATAAAAAAATATTACGATATCAATGAATGGATTCATTGAAGCCCGGACTAGAGCAGCTGCAAGGAGGTTAGGTTACTTACTTATCTTCACGCACAATCCCTGTCGGGGTAGCCAGAGAGAACAGATCGCCAAGTGTCACGATCCTTACATATCTCTTTCGCTTCTTTCAGATTCATTATCTTCTTCATACATGCACGTCTAGGTATCCGAGTACTCTTGACCCTACCCTCTTCGAGCAATTTGCTCACATGGTCTTCGAAAGTTAGTCTCGGTCTACCTCGACACCTTTTAATATTAACTTTCGCGCTATATATTTTCTTCACCATTCGGTCTTCACTCATTCGCTCAACGTGCCCAAACCACCGAAGCACGCCCTTATCAATTTTTGTGATAAGGTCATCTTTCAAACCTGCCATATTGCGAATCTCTTCGTTTCGCTTTCGGTCGGCCATAGTAACGCCGCACATTTTACGAAGAGATCGCATCTCCACTGCATTCAACTTGCTTTTATGCTTTGGTTACCTTACAAAAGTGCGACTGTATTTCACGCCGAGACAACTACAATGCGCAAGTCTGGTCGTACATGGAGTATTGCTGCATGTATGGGATAATGCTGCAAAATGCCACCTAGCAGCTTTTAACCTAATGGAAAGGCGTACTAAGAGATTTATTGGTGACCTCAATTTGCTTGCCAATCTAATCAGTCTCAAGCATAGACGCAATATGACAAACCTTTCGGTGACCTTGTTTTCGTTGAAGCCAACAGCCTCGAGCCTATGTAACCAAGTTTTTGGTAGTCTATAGGTTAAAGGGGTGGAGACTGATTGAGCGTTTGGTTGTCCGTTAATCAGAAAAAAAATGCTAAATAATATACTTAATATGCTACTAAAATATGGTTAACTGATTGTTTTTTTTTTATAGAATAAGGGTGACAAACGAGCACACAGTCCACCTGATGGTAAGTGGTTGCTGTGACCCATAGACATCTACATTTATCCTCAATTAAGAATCAAAATGCACTGCAATGCACAATCACATGCGTTATCACCCGTGAGGACTAAGATAGAATGCCTCTTTTCCAGTAAAAAGGGTCTCCGGTTCTCTACACTCACCATACGAAACACAGCAGCATTAAGCTGCTACTTTACGCTGGTATTCTGTGAGAGCGTGGTCCTTCCCCGGTCGAGCCGACCCATTCGTGCTACAACTATACCAGAAATATAGCTGCAGCATGGCTCTACCACGTGATAAATACCACGTTTTCATTGCTAAATCACTTTAAAACATACTAAATTATGAGAGTAGATGCTAAATTAAGCCATATAAATGCTAAATTGGCAGTACTGGCTTTTTCCTATCGTCGGTTTGTGTATTTTACATTTCCTGTGAGCCGGTTGGTTATAGCGCCATCTATCGAAAATAATAAGAACTTTCTGAAAATTTCCATAGTCGCCAATGATACTGAGGGACGAAATGGGGTGGCGGATTATCTTTACCGCTACCACCACACGGCAACAAGACGTCTACTAACGGGTTGAAATAGTTTCCTTTACCGTTATTACCTACTAAAGTCCACTGCTCAACACAGACCTTCCCCATAGATTGCCTCGTAGGGGGGATATTTTATAATTTATATGTAGTTGTGACGCTTGGAACGCGAGTTTTTTTTTACTTTTAGTCGTTATTAAGAAGACGCTGCTTTCCATCTCCCGATTTGTTTCCCTCTGTCGCCTCCTACGACACCCACGGGATAATATGGGTAGTGGATATTCTTACACCGCCACTACACGGTTGACATAATAGTTTCTTACACTGTAAACTTCGACAATGAGTAGTTACCTGCTCGAATAAGCCTTGTGTACGCTAAGAGCGGACGCCATCAAACAATTCACTACAAAATCGACGGGAACAAGGTCGGCCGTGACGTTTTCGTCACACTGTAATATACGCAGCATCCCGGTCGCTGTAACAGAACACATTTCTCGTTAATTGCTGTCGATAAATAATCTCCGAGAACAAGATAAAACTTCATGCTTTTATTAATTACAGCCTAGTATAGCCTAAATAAAGCCGTGGTAGCTCAGATGGTTAGCGCTCGCTATAAATTTCACAGTGCGTGAGCAACCCGGGTTCGATCCCCGCCGGCACCACTTAAATTGTTAATTGCAATTTTAAGCGGTGAGTTAAAACAGTTTAATCCGTTTTCAAAATGAAACATTTATTTTTATTGTAATTATTATTTTCTACATTATAGTTTGTCATGAAGTTCAGAGCCAATTTAAAGTTTCAAGTCTCCAACTCATCAGCAAGTTAGTTTAAAATCTATTGCAAAATTCGTACTTAATAGAAAAACAAGCAAACAGACTGACAAGAAAGTGAGTTAATATTGCATTGTGGCCCAGTTCTGAGCTATTTATTTTTTTAAGTTTTAAATCTTAAAGTTTAAAATCGTTTGCGACATTTGTACTGAACAAACAAACAAGCAAACAGACAACAGACAAGAAAGAGCGTTAATATTATATTATCACCCAGTTCTGAGCTATATACGAAGTTTCAAATCTCTCGCTCATCGGCAAATTAGTTTAAAATGATTGCGAAATCAATTATAGATAATTTCTATGAAAAATCCTATTCAGGTTACAATATAATTAAAAAAATCCCACATACCACTCCCCACTGCTACGCCGGTCGGTCCATACATGTTGTCCAACCAACATTTGAGGGGCTCTTTGGCTGTAGAAATCACTGCAAACATAAATAAATACATTTTTTTTATTTTTTTTAAAAGCGTTACGCCCACACTAGAATTTTCTCCTGTATCGTGGAGGCAGTTTACAAACATAAATTGCACGATGACAAACATCCAAAACATTCAATAAAACGTTTGTGTTACGATACGATACAGTGAAGTGGTGGTGTAACATTACAAAATAATAAAAAATTAAGGCTGCCAACCCGATTGCCAAGCGAAATAACTACGGCAAATATAGTCTGTTCGTTTAAATTTGCGTCGCACCGCTTTGGCACATTCCACATCTTGTCAAATCTGACACATCTTTTTAAGGACTTGTGAACAAATAATCCAACACCTCCTTAGAGGAAATGGTCGCCCACTCGGTAATAGAAAAACTATGTATATAGGTAACCCCCTATCAGGCAATCTATAGGGGAAACCTATGTTCAGCAGTGAACTTTGATAATATGTGATGATAGGTAATGGTTATAAATTACTACGTAATGTAGTTCACGGCTGGGCACGGACCTCTCCCAATGTTGGAAGTATTGGCCGTAATCGTCATACTTAGCTTTACTTACTTTTTTGTAATAACTGGCTTTACGGCTCTGGGTTCTAGCCCTTCTGAGCCTGAAGTTACAATGTATAATTATTATTTTTCATAGTACACGCTGCTGCTGCAATATATTGATGCGTCACATTAAACAGCCCTTGCGATGTTTTGACGGTAACTTAAGCCAGCAGACAGCTAACAGTTGTGATGGTATCTCAAGGCGCCTAAGCAGACAGACACATTATCTTGAGAATCACATCACCATCAACGCACTTGTTTTACCGTTTCCACTAATAGTTCACATGCGCAGACACTTAATACACAAAATTGTACCACTTTTACATATCAAAATCCACTTCAAACCATTATTTAAAAATTAATACAGGAGCAGCAAACCGCCGCCGGTCAAGTTCCCACCAAAACTCCCTCATACTTAGCACGTGGATTGATGAACGCAGAGTATGTCGTCTCGCACCTTTGACGTTCTGCTCGCGGGTATTAGTATTTGACATATGAGCCGAAAAGATTTCTCTTTACGATATCCTGGGGATGGCGCAACATTACATGGTTTCTCCCAACTTTCTCACAATAGAGATAAATATATATACATAAACCTATGATTTAGAGATAAATTTAAAGAAATTAATATATTAACTTTGGCCTCTCAGTATATTTATGAAAATTTAATGTATGTTCACAAAAACAAAGATAGTTTTAGTAAAAGAAGTGATATACATTCTGTAAACACTAGGAACAAACACAAGCTAGTGATACCAGTTTCTCGACTCCACAGAGTCAGTAATTCATTCTTGGGGCAATGTATACGCTATTACAACAAGGTCCCGGAAAGTGTTCCGGTTCTCTCTATTACCAAGTTTAAATGTTTTATTAAGCTGAAACTCTATAAAAAGGGTTATTATAGTATAAATGAATACATGGTTGATAATAACCCCTAGGAATGAGGTGATCGCTTCCAAGCAGTTTCTAAAATAAATTTTGTAAATAGTTCGTAATCATTTATATTGTAAAATTTATTTAAAAAAAAGGTCCCGCTGGGTTTCTTGCTGGTTCTTCCCAGGACAGAGGGTTTTTTCGAACCAGTGGTAAAGTAAAAAACGACTTTCAATAAGAATTACACATGTAATGTATATTGAATAAAAAATATTCTATTCTATTCTATTCTATGTTACCTCAGCCTATTTATAACTGATATGATTGCCTCCTTGGTCTATCGTGAGCGCGATTTTTAATCTTAATATCTTAGGCCCGTATTAATAAACGTTACTCAACGACGAACTTAAGTGCGTAATCTTTTGATACGCCCTGATTACGATATCAGCGTCTCGAGATCGTTGATAATTAATAAACACATAACAGTATCTCAAAACGCTGTACTTAGGAATACTGTTACTGTGACTTGCACTCAAGTACACACGCTTGAGAGTCGAGTTTCTTTTATTAATCAGCGTGGAACTCAGCTGATATCGTAAACCTAAACTGCATCTTGAATTACGTTTATTAATAAGATCATAGCCTCAAGATTGTACTCAAGTGCGTGTACTTGAGCTGAGTAACGTTTATTAATACGGGCCTTAGATTCGGAATTCGAGTCGGGTCAAAATCAGGTATTGGATTTTTCCGTCAAGAAATTATCAGTAGCAATCCATAGTGAGGAAGATGGTGTTTCATTCTCGTGCACCTAAAAGCAATATAAGCTGTTGACCATGCACCTGATTTCTCTGCGGTCGTGTCGGATTGCCGTCCAATCGGACTCTGAGAGTTAAGGAACAGAGAGTCAAACTGCGCTTGCGCACACGCTCGTACTATAGCCCTGTCCTGTATTTACATCTGTCATTAAAAATCGATAATCTATCTCAAAGGTAAATGTTATACAACAAATCAATACATACAATATCTATCTATATAGATATAAGAGATTCCCAGCTATGTACTAACTCATCATGATATCTCTGAAACCATAAGGCTTAGAGACTTGAAATTTGGTAGGAATATTCCTTTCGTCGAGTAGAGGGCAACTAAGAATAAGATTTGCGGGGGTTGATTTGAATTATTTTAATTAAGCCCCCGCAACCCCCTTGCGGGCGGAATATCGTAAAATCTGTTATTAGGTGATCTCGACTCGACCAAAGGAATATTCCTATCAATTGGACCCGGTAAATAGCGCTGTTGTCGAGATAAAGAAATCAGTAATGCGAAGTAATGAAAAAAAGCTTCTTTGGTATTTCCCCACAAATTTATAATATAACTACCTGATTCAATAAAAAATATGACCTTATTTAAATTTAAAAAGGTGCCGAATGAGTTATTAATAGACAAATGTTACTATAAAATTGATGAGTTCTTGAATGACAATTTTAACTAGATACTTTTTATTGACTATTATTATTTTTGTTATTGTAATCAATTTAATTTTATAAATGTAGAATTTTCATTAGTATTCCAATTTCAATTATTTCTATTCTATTTTATTTTATGACATGATTTTTCAAAAGAACACTCAATTATATTTGTATGTCTTTAAGGTGACACTAGTCGACATTATTTCCATAGAAATTTCGGAGGGGTTTTACTCCGCTGTTTGACAGTGTACATCCAAAATTAAACATGATATCGTTTTGTCTCATTATTAAATTTGTTGACAAAACATAACGCACTGGCGAACTTACTGGCGCTTGGCGAATACATCACTCACTTACATTCTATGTACCTACTATAGTTAATAACTTAATCTTAGATTTAAAAATTAAAATAGAAAAAATTAAAAAGTGTAAAAATTTAATTTAATCTTAGCAATGTTATTAACATACATAATTATATTCAAACTTATTAAATAATATGATAAGATTAGTATAACAAATTATAATTTTGACATTATTTAATTTGTATGAAATATTTTAAATTTGATTTATAAATACAAAATATAATAGTTATTAAAAATATTATATTTTGACTATATATAACTTCAAGATATTTAATACGACAGCAATGAACTCCTATGAACTTTACTCAACTATTGAAATTTTTTTTCTTCATATTTTTCTTTTGATTTAAAGACACCATTATTTAATTAGTAATGCGTAGCCCAATGTTGTATTTGCACACCTCATAAGGTAAGGTACAGTGCGCATATTCTAATTTTCTGTAACACCTTTTATACCTGTATTATGCAAATAAATGAATTTGATTTGAAGCCGGGGCATATGTAATAAATCAGTATATTATTATATTATATTATATAATAATAAATATAATATCATTGAGTTATATGTACTACGTACTAGAGAAGCCATTCCAAACAAAAATTGTGTCCTACTCTATGTCTTCGCGCATGCGCGGGAGTAGTAGTCGCGCATGCGCGAAGACTTTAATTTAATATAAAATAAGATTTTAATATAAAATAAATATAAGAATTTAATATAAAATATCTTAACTTAATCTAAACAAACATATTTCTAAATAAAATGTAATAATAATTATTTTATGGAATTCACAATACTTCAATTTACGCAATATTTAGTTTATATGGATTGCACTACAGTTCAGTTGAACATAGTCAATGTTCGGAATGGCTTCTCTAGTACGTAGTACATATAACTCAATATATAATATACAATAAATCCTCCACATCTAGAAAAGGCACAGTTCCTGTAGTGAACTACTTCTACATGCTGTCTAATAACAAACCCCTATAATCTTTGTAAAACTAATCTAATCAATTAATTAACTTGAACTATCGGACGTACCTATAGCTGGCCTAAAAATTCCAAGCGGAACGTTGCTAGAATTAAGCCGGAGCTCTTTCTCCGCCAGTGCTTTGGTGAAGGTGTACGTGTTGGGCCATTCTCCTAGTATTCTGAAATGATAAATATATAGAAAGAAAGGACATATTTCGTAAGAGGTACGTTTTGCTGGTGCACGAATGGGCTATCTAGAACCGGAGGAGACCACAACCTCACAGAATACCGACGTGAAGCAGCAGCATTTATTACTACTGCCTTTCGACTGGTAAGGGCAGGTTACAGGAGCCTCTCTCACTCCAAACATGGTAGTAGTACTAAAAGAGTCCACACCACGAGGGTACCAGCACCCATAGTAATAGAGAATCTCTCACCGAGCATTCACGCCCTACGCAGCTGCTCCAAATGGAATATAATGCATATCCCATTTTAGTCGCAATTGTAAAATTGCATCTCGCCATAAGCAGGAATGGTACCAGGACGTATCGACTTCCCGGAATGCAAATACTGTTCATTGTACATGTCAGTTTCTAGTCATCATATAGTTTTAACAGTGGTAGAGTCACGCGGCAGCTATTACTGTCGCACGGATGGGCCGGCTCAAACCGGGGTGGTTCCACAACCTCACAGAATGCCAGCGTGAAGTAGAGGTTTACCTCTGCGTTTCGCATGGTAATTGCAGGTGGTCATAGGCCCAAGTGAATGAACACTCCTTTATGCCCCGGGCTGGAGTTTGCGTATACGTCAGAGAGGATATCTGTTTTCGACGCCTCAGCAGTCTTGTGGGTACGGACCTGTCCATCCTATGGCTGCGCGTACACAGCAACGACCATCCCCGCGTCTACAGGTGCCTTTCTATAGGTCCCATAGCGGTAATGCCGAAACAGACCGACACATCGCTCACGTCCAAAGGGCTACAGATTCCTTGCTACAGTAGATCTCATCCGCAGAGATCGTGACCCTTGGCGATTTTAACGCCCACCACGCCGAATGGCTCGGTTCACGTTCAATCGATCATGCGGCGAGATCTGTTTATGACTTTGCATTGGCATATGGTCTTACACAGCTGGTTACTTCGCATACGAGGAGTCCAGATATGGAGAATCATACACCTTCCCTGTTAGACCTTCTGCTGACCTCTTATCCGGACGGATATCAGGTTTCCGTCGACACTCCTTTAGGCTCGTCTGATCATTGTCTTGTCCGGAGTGTGGTGCCACTCACACTAACGTCGCGGTTGCATTCTGCAGTGTTTGGCACTATAGGTCGACCGATTGGGATAAGATGCGGTTATTTTTTGCATCTTACCCTTGGAAGCAGGTTTGCTTCTCGCCGGAAGATTCCAACGTTGTTACTAATTTTGTTGCTGATTTGGTACTTCAAGGTATGTAACTTTTTATTTCATCCTCTGGGGTGCCCATCAGAAGCAAATCCCAGCCATGGTTTGAACGCTCCTGTAAAATAGCATCACGCTATAAGCAGGAGTGCTACCGGGCATGGGCTGACGCATCAACGTCTCGGGATGTAAACACAAGCGCTTTTAAAAAGAAGTTTTTAAAAGCGCTTTTTTACGTGGTAGAGCCATGCTGCAGCTATATTAACATAGTTGTAGCACGAATGGGTCGGCTCGACCGGGGAAGGACCACGCTCTCACAGAATACCAGCGTAAAATAGCAGCTTAACACTGCTGTGTTTCGTATGGTGCGTCATCTGCATTTCGATTCGCAAACGAGGATAGATGTAGATGTCTATGGGCCACAGCAACCACTTACTATCAGGTGGACTATGTGCTCGTTTGTCACCCTATCCTATAAAAAAAAGTAAAATTCCGCCACCAGGTCCTTCAAAAGAGTCATTGTCAAGGCAAGATCTGAGCATATCGGCAGAATTGGCGAAAAGCTAGTTCACCTTCCTTCGGAAGCCCGTGCTTTCTGGTCTCTCGCCAAGGCTGTCCAAGGGAACTTCTGTCAGTCATCTCTTCCATCTCTGCATAGAGGAGGACGACTCACTGGTCCATGCCGCAAAGAAGAAAGACGATCTGTTAGGCTCTCTCTTTGTGTCCAACTCGACTGGGGGAACACACCGCCGACCATCCCGCGGTGTGAGTGCTCCATGCCGTATGTACGGTTTACACAGCGCACGGTTCGCAAAGCACTCCTCTCCCTCTCCCGCAGTAGAGTCCAAGGGGGGAGGGGGGCATTGGCCGTTAGTTTGGACATAGCGAAGGCCTTCGATCGGGTCTGGCACAAAACACTTCTTTCGAATCTTCCTTCATATGGGCTATCCGCGAAATTATGCAATTGGATCACCAGTTTTCTTGCTGATCGGAGCATCAAGGTCCTAGAACGCCGATGTTCCACAAGGCTGCATGCTATCACCAACGCTGTTTCTTCTGAATATCAATGATATGTTGCAAACTGGTAACATTCATTGCTATGCAGACGACAGCACTGGTGATGCCTTATACACCGGTCATCAATCAATATTTCTCGGCAAAACGTCACCGAGTACCGGTACAAACTTGCGTCTGAATTCGAGTCTTTGCTGAACAAAGTTTCGGATTGGGGGTGACCAAACAGGGCAAATTTCTCAAATCTACTCCAGTTCTATCCCCAGAAGACACAAATTTGCGCGTTTACCGCTAAAAACAACCCCTTTGTCGTATCTCCTCAGTTTTAAGGCAGTTCCCTTGCTGCCTCAGCTAGCATCGGAATCCTTGGGGTCGACATATCGAATAGTGTACAGTTTTGTGGTCACTTGCAAGGGAAGGCCAAATTGGCCTCTAAAAAGCTTGGCGTGCTCAGAAGAGCGAGACAGTATTTCATGCCGGTAGGTACATCGCTTGTAACTTTACAAAGCGCATGTTCGGCCTCGCATGGAATACTGTTCTCATCTCTGGGCCGGGTCACCCCAGTGCCAGCTCCTTCCACTTGACCGCATCCAGCGCAGAGCGGTTCGAATCGTTGACGACAGACTTCTTTCTAATCGGTTCGATTCACTGGCGCTGCGTAGGGATGTTGCATCCCTTTGCATTTTTTATCGAATCTACCACGGGGACTGCTCTGAGGAATTGTTCAGATTAATCCTAGCCGCCAAATTTCACAAATGCACATCGCTTCACGATACCATCCTCACCATCTGGATGCTTGGCGGTCCACCACTCTGCGTTTAACTAGAAGTTTTCTTCCTCGTACAACTTCTGTGCAATTGTTTACCATCGGCTATTTTCCCGACCGATACTACTTAGGGACCTTCAAGAAAAGAGCTTACACCTTTCTAAAAGGCCGGGAACCCACCTGCAATTCCTCTGGTGTTGCGGTTGTTCATGTGCGGCGGTAGTCACTTACCATCAGGTGAGCCGCATGCTCGTTTGCCCCCGCTTCTATAAAAAAAAGTCATTAGCGAAACTTAAAAACTCTATCATTCCGTTAGGGGTTTCGTTTATGTGGGTTCTGGGGTAAGTAAAGCTAGTAACTCACGTTGGTAATAGTTTGTCAATCTCCGAGTCTGTTAGTTTGTCGATTACGTTGTGAAGATGTTCGCAGTCGGCCTCGCAAGGATAAAACTTCTCCTCTATTCGGGATAGATGCGAGTTTGAATACGCTGTAGATATGTGCATCATAACCTGGAGAACAAGTAATATTCGATTGTAACATAATACATTTACATCCATTAAAGCCTATAAAAGTCATACATGAGGCCTCCCCATAGGTTACATCATCGGGGGCAAAATTGCCAGAGATGCCAAGCACGGCAGGCGGGTTGGTAACTACAGTTTTATATTTTTTTTGAATTGTTATTAGGAGGATGCAGCTGCTCTTCTCCGTTCAGTTTCCCTCTGTCGCCTCTGACGACACTCAAAGGAAGATATGGGTAGTGGATATTCATTTACACATGGTGGATTTATTTATATGGTGGATTTATTTCATACCATAATAATCTCTATACAAAAATCAATTGCTGTCTGTTAGACTCGCAAAAACTCGAAAATGGGTAAACCGATTTTGATGAAATTTTGGACCCGGTAGGTGGAGTTGTTGTGGAGATTCAGAAATAAGGATAAACAAGCCGGGCGGATCGCCGTTATTTATTCAAATAATACAAAACTACAACTAAACACTAAAAACTAGAGCCGTGGTAGCTCAGTTGGTTAGCGCTCGCTGTAAATTTCACAGTACGCGAGCAACCCCGGTTCGATCCCCGCCGGCACCAATGAAATTGTTAATTGCAATTTTAAATGCTGATTTACCACGCGCTCGGCGGTGAAGGAAAACATCGTGAGGAAAACTGCATGTCTGAGAAATAAGGAAAAAGAATATATTTCGAAGATATGTGAAGTTCGCCAACACGCATTGGGGCAGAGCGGGGGACACTTCCTTGCCCTAAAACCGTCTCATAAATGTGAGGAGGCCTGTGCGCGGCAGTGGAACGTATAATAGGCTGTAACTTTACTTTATTTTAAGAACTAAAATTATCATACAGTTCCATTTCCCGCGGTTTACTGCCAAGAAACCTGGCTGCGCTTCGTACGTAGTTTGCTAGTTGTTCAACGTAATATTAATTTATAACTAGCATACAATGATTTGTTATAAAGTAATTAATTTCATGGGATAAAATTCAACACAAACAAATTGCAAATTGCGGTTGTAGGAATAAAATTGCTTTTCTTTTTTTTATCAGTTTTATACTCAGTGAAGTTATAATTTATTCGATGGATAACTGTAACCTGACCATTAAAAAACTGGTTCAAACGAATTCTACACTTTAAATTACACAAATTATCGTGTTTAATTTAACTCATATTTACATATTTTAATTCCTCGGTTAGGTAAAAGTTTTGTACGTGGTAGAGCCATGCTGCAGCTATATTAGTAGTATAGTTGTAGTTCGAATGGGTCGACTCGACCGGGGAAGGACCACGCTCTCACAGAATACTAACGTAAAATAGCAGCCTGACAGAAAGCCAAGTTTAAAAATTTAGAAAAAACAAAGAGAATATCATTGGTAATAGTTATACGATATACCGATTGTAGTAGATAAAACTCACTTTTAAATCTTTCATATCCCTGGCGAGACGCAAAAGGTGTAACGGAGCGCGGACGTTGGTGACCAGCGCTGCTCGGAGGTGCTCGTCGAACTTCACCGTTGCCGCCGAATGGAATATTATGTTCACCTGTAAGTTAAAGCAAGCATAATGGTGATTTCCTGGTTCCGATTTGAACCATGGCAACATCGATCACTAATAAAAAAACTAGATACGCAATCCTATGCAAAATTTCTCTAAAAACTGTCGACAATTGTTTTGAAGTAGTTCTAGTATAAATATACATTAATGGAAATTCAACCTTAAATGCATTGCCTAAAGTTGTATTCACAAAGCTACATACAAATTAAAAGTGCACCCAAATGTTCGAGTGGACGCTCATTCGGCAAAGACATCTTTTGTCACTGATTGTGTATATCTAGTTCTTTATTAGTGTTCAAAGCACGGCAATAATAAAATTTGTTAAAAAATATGTACCAGTCGCGTAGCATAGATTTCTGTCGTCCGGGGCTGTTAGTCCTAATAATTGCATCCTCCCCCCCCTTCTTTTAAAAGTTAAAACATTAATAATATTAATCTCGTTTTGATTAAACAATAATAATATACTACCGGTGTCAAAGGTATAGAGAACTATTATAATTACAGGCGGTGAAGCATTCTATCTTAGTTTGCAGAGGTTAAAACGCATCTGTAGCCGCCTTTATTCGGTGTTTGCTGCAGCTGTTGTCCATGGGCTGCAGTAGCCAGTTACCATCTGGTGTACTGTAAGTTCGATTGTCACTTTCACACCTTTGGCAAGGGGTGAAAGTGACAAATTGGGGCTACATAAAAATCTTTATTTTTCAAATTTTTCAATGTTCGTTTTATTTATATTAAATAAAGTATTTTTCAGAGTTTTTGAAACTTTTCTTTTTCATAATTTTGCCCACAGATTTCGCCGTCTAAGGCTATGGTCTCTGGGTCCTGCCTTGTCGTACAAGCCGACAGCGATGTATGTGCATATGTACGAAGACTCGAGGATTTGACCCTAATGTATCCTGTGTAAGTATAAAAATTATCAATAAGATATAAATGAGACATATAGCATATGATGATAGCAACATTAACTTTTATTAAAAATTTAAAGCCAGTATTAAAGAACTAAAAACAATGTGCTAATTTCACATTCTGAAGTGAGTGTTAAAACATAGTGTGTGTAGAAGTGTTGAATCCTCGACTTCAGAATGTAAAATTTTATTTTTTTAATTTTTGAAGTCGGCTTTTACTTTTTCTTAAAAGTTATTTTTTACCCTTTGAAGTGGACTAAGGGATACCAATAATCGCAATAATGTCTAAATAATTATATATATAAAAAATTACAGAACCTCTTTTCACACCGTTAAAACTTTAATTTTTTCTCCTAATTTATATTTTGTTTTATATGATAAGAGTGGTAAACGAGCACACAGTCCACCTGATGGTAAGAGGTTGCTGTGGCCCATAGACTTCTTTATTTATCCTCGATTACGAATCAAAATGCAGATGCGTTTTCACGTGTGAGGACTAAGATGGAATGACTTGTTTCCAGTAAAACGGGTCTCCGGTTCAGTACACTCACCATACGAAACAGAAAAAATTATACGTAGCAAATTCTTCCATAAGTTTCTAAATATATTCTTCTTCAGTAATCTAATTATTAGTTTAGTAATACTAAACATGGAACCACGCCCGTTGTATGGAGGATGTTTTATATTATGTAAACAACAATTATAATAATTATTTAATGAGGGCTAATAATTTTCTACTCACCAGATGTCGCTAGTTGACAGTGAGGTAAAGTTTTTGTTACACAATGTCATTTAATTGAGAAGTTGGTTTTTAAAAGTTTACCAGTTTCAAGAGTATTATATTAATACTGAAAACAATGTCTCCGTTGTTTGGTCTTTAATTTTTTGCACATTTTTTCCTTTTTTTTTTAGTTTTTCTACTTTTATAAATACATGTGGTTTAGTTTATTTATTTTTAATCGTATTAATATAAAATATAGCTAATAGTATAGAAAGAAACAGGCAACCTTTACATTTTTCGAATAAATTAACTTCCCCACTATGAAATCTGTCAAATATTACTCACTTTTAAGTGGCAGAAAAAGTCGTGGGTCAGAAAAAGTCATTACCAATTATATTATGTAATCAACTTTTTTATTAGTCTGATGTAATTAATAAAAATATTCAAATGTAAGTATAGAATAGAATAATTTTTATTCAATATTGATTACATGTAATTCTTATTGAAAGTAATTTTTTATTTTTACTACTGGTTCGAAAAAAACGTCTGTCCCGGTAAGAACCAGCAAGAAACCCAGCGGGACTCCTTTTTTAAAAGCAAAACTTACAATATAATATTTATACAATTGTTATGAAAATATTTAGAAACAGCACAGTAGCGATTACCTTATTCTATTCACCCTTACTAAACAATTTTCGCTTAATAAATATTTCAAACATTTTGATAGATAAGGTTTGCATATTTTCTGGGACTTTGTTGTAAAAACGCATACAATTGCCCCATGAAGGAATTACTTAGTCTTTGGAGTCGAGTAACTGGTATACCTAACTTGTGCTTGTTCCATGTATTTACAGAATGCACATCACTATTTTTAACAAAAATATCTTTGTTTTTGTGTGTATAAATTAGGGAGATATGTACATATATATTATACAAGATTTTGTATTATTCAATTTAGAAATACCATTATTTACTTTACCACTATCGTTGAGAATACTGTGTTGTGATTATTTGTAGATAATTTACTTATGTACTTTATTTCTTTGTATATACTAAAATGATGTCAGCGCATCGACGTTTGTTTTGTTATAAAATAAATAATCCTATGAGTTAAGTTTGTTTGAGTTGTGTTATTTATATTTGTAAATATAGATAACACAACTATATTATACGTGGTTTAAGGTTATAGCACGAATGGGTCTGCTCGAACGGAGTAGGACGACGCTCTCACAGAATACCAGAATAAAATAGTAGCTTAATGCTGCTGTGTTTTGTATAGTGAATGTAGAGAACTGGAAACCCTTTTTAATGGAAACGAGGCATTTTAGTCCCCAGGAGTATCAACGCATCCGCGTCTTGATCCTTAATCGAGGATAAATCTATGGGCCACAAAATCCACTTGCCATCAGGTGGACGGTGTGCCCGTTTATCACCCATATTCTGTAAGAAAATACATCTATGTGTCTAGTCGCATACGAAACCTAGCAACATTACGTTGCAGTTTTATGCTGGTAATCTATGCAAGCCTGATCCTTTGAGCTCCCGGTCAGACTGACCGTATTCGTTCACTGAAACATAACTCTACTGTATCGATGTAAAGGGTCTTCCTTCCTCGTCACTCGCCATTCGAAACATAGCAGCATCATACTACTATTTTACGCTATATCCTTAGAACAAATTTTTGACATTGACTTTTCCGTATGGTCTATCTTTTAAATGTTAAAATGTTAAACGTTTTGTAATATAAAGTTATTTATTGTCAATGTTTTTTCGCGGCCATTCGTGCTGCAGTCGGAATTCCATCTGTAGCGTGATTACCAAATTAAAAAAAAAACTTCAGTTTTAGTTACTATAACTGTCAGTTGGGCTGTACGTTTCCACTCTAATATTCATCATCATCATCAAAGTCCACAGCTGAACATAGATCTCCCCTATAGACTGATAGTTGGCACGCTTGGCAACTGCAGATTTTTATTATTTCGATTCCCTTACGCCGCCTCTAGACGGCCAATATTATATATGTAAATAATATTAGACTTTAGTTAATTATAACTTTCAACAAAAAGTAAAAACCGACTTAAAATTGCTAAAAAACTAAGTTTTTTATTTGCTACCCTCAGGGGGGAAATATTTTTCTTTAATTTTTTATGGGACCATCCTTGAAGTATATCCTTTTTAAAGAAAACAGAATCATCAAAATTGGTTCACAATCTGCGAAGATATCTCGTAACATACACACAAAAAATACACTTGAAATGAGAACCTCTTGCTTTTTGAAGTCGGTTAAAAAACCTAAACAACATGCATCGATCCTAAGCTGGTTATTTTATTTTATCCTGGTGATTCTGATCAGGACACTAGGATAAAGTTATTATATTATTGTATTGTCATCGGTCCTTGATACGAGTGCAATTTTTCTAGTCAATCGACCGTGTACAAGTTGGTGAAAAATACATTACAAGATGCCATTACATATACATAGATTGGTACACGCGAAACTAATAAAAGTGTGTTAAAAAGGTGAAGTCTTTCAATTAGTTTATATTTTGTATTATCTTGTTTCTATAAGGAGGTTTAAAAATAAAAGTATCACCTTCTCAGTGAGCATTTGCCTGTCACTGAGCGTAAGTCCTAAGCCAGCCGCTTCGCAGTCCGCTGGTATCACAACCACTTTGTGCCTGAACTTTGGTACTTCATCTTTGAGTTGGTTAAAAACCTGAAAAGATAAAAGCATAATAATAAATATAATAATAAATAACACGAATATGTATTTAAATAAAAGTCCAATATATTTCTTTTATAGGATAAGGGTGACAATCGAGCACACAATCCACCTGATGGTAAGTGGTTGCTGTGACCCATAGACACCTACATCTATCCTCATCAATAAAGAAACAAAATGCAGATGCGTTATCAGCCGTGAGGACTAAGATGGAATGCCTCGTTTCCATTGAAATGGATCTCCGTTTCTCTACACTAACCATACGAAACACAGCAGCGTTGAGCTGCTATTTTACGCTTGTATTCTGTGAGAGCGTGGTCCTACCCCGGTCGAGCCGACCCATTAGTACTACAACTATACTACTAATATAGCTGCAGCATGGCTCTACCACGTATAGAATGTATTATAATATTATATTTTTGTATATTCTTAGATGTCGTGTAATTAAAACGGAACAATAACAGAAACAAATAGCGGAACGGCAAAATTACAACATTGCCCACGTCCACAATGGTGCTGTGGAAAAAAAATGATATTATTAAAATTAAAACTCACCACTCAGCTTCTTTGCTTAAAATCATCTAAGTTCAAGAAATGAGAGGAGAGATAATAGATTGATCAAAATACCATAAGAAATGTTTGTGCTAATGACTCGCTTCATATTTGTAACTAGCGACTCGCCCCGGCTTCGCCTGGATAGGATCTATTAATATGGCCCTATTTAGATTTAAGATAATGAAAGCCTATATAATATTTTATCAGTAAAATTAAATATCTTGCGGAATACATACAAACATATCTAACTTTAAACTTAACCTATTTTATATATGTCTTAAAATTTTCTGTTCAATCAGGACTTCGTACTCATCCAAAAATTTCTTGCGGACCTTGCGATGGTGGATACTGTGGTAGGTGCATCGGACCCTATTGTCCGTACATTACTATCTACACGTGCTGTACCGTGAAACCTGGCAACTTTGCCATTTTTTGAAAGGGCTTAAAAGTTTAGGACCAATTTACCAACAAGAAATATGTACTGTCAGAGTGGGCGTCAATGTTAAATGTGAAATTATGTTCTTCATAGATTTGGTATTTATTAGTGATTTATACAAATACTAACATTAAATAGACACAATACTCAAAAATAGAAAAGGACAAAGTTAACCTCACTTTGTGGCAACTTTGCCATCAGTGTTTATAATGAAATTAATAATATAATAATAATAAATAATAGGATTTGACATCAAGGTCGAAGGTAAGTTTACCCCATAATATAATGCACAACACTCAGAGTTATGATTTGCTCCTTTAATTGTGCTGCAAATAGCAAAATTTGCGCTTGTGGCAAAGTTGCCCTCCCATTTTTCAATTTGTCATACAAACTTGAATATATGTGTCAGGGTTGTCAAAAATCCTTGATTACGTACTTTACTTAATTTTTTTAATTTAAATCTTGTCACAATAATTTCATAAGCAAAAATCTAAAATATATCAAACAAAAATACCTACTCTCTTGTTGCTTGTTTCACAATAATTTTTAACCAGTTTTCGTATTTCTTATTAGTCTTCATTACGTGAGATAAAAAAATTATTATTGTAAACAATCTAAATATTGTTTTCCCACAATAGCAAAACATTCATAATCATTAAATATGACACTATTTTTTGGTACAAATTAATATCAAATATCAATACACTAAGTTGAAATTATGAAAAATACTGAGTAGTAATAATATTGTTAACTCCCGGTAAAGCAGCACAAATAATATAGATTTTTTTTATCTTTTCCTTTACTTGTGATAAAGATGAATTGAGTGACGACTCATTTGGTAAAATCGGTCTTATGGGCTGCTACGGTGACAGATGCAAAGGTAGTAGAGCCACCATATATTATGGTTGTAGCATGAATCGGTCGCATTTTGTTTCTTACTCGAGGACAAATGTGGGCCACAGAATCCACTTAACATCAGGTGAAATGTGTGGTCGTTTATCACCCATATGCTATAAAAATACTACACAAACATATATATATATAGAAAGTTGAAAGTGACAACCCTTGGTTGTAGCAAAACATGGCAAAGTAACCTAGCATCGTGGTATGACTAGTATGGTAACTTTGCCAAATTAGTTTTATAGATAAATGTTAAGACCAACATGTTAAAAACGATATATTATATTTGATAACCATTAACGTTACGTTACTACTAAGATATAGATACCTACATTCAGTATTTCAAACAAAAAAAAATAAAGTTCTGGAGCACTTTACTGGGTGAACCGATTTGGATGATTCTTTTTTTTATTTGAAAGCTGGTACTTCTCGTGTGGTCCCATATGAATTTGATCAAGGTCAGACCAATAGTTTTTGAGTTATTTTAATAACTTATATTGAAGTCGGCTGTACAAAATTTTTAATTTTAAATTATCATTCAAAAAATGGCACATCTCGAAAAACGTTACGTTTTCCGTGTTAATCGTAATTTTGTTCAATTTCCGTTAGTAAAGTTGTGTCAGACTAGACTTTACGAAGATTTGTTAAGAATGCATTATCATATTTTAATTTACATAAATTTACATATATTTACGTATTTATTTGCGCACCACCGTTATGTGAAATAAATATGTAAATAAATATTAATAATTTTTCGTTAAACTTCAAATTTTTTTTACATAAAATTCAGCCTAGATCACTCCTGGTATTGCTCTCTATCTGTTCTTAAAGTTTCATATAATCGGTTCAGAAGATTATCACGGACAGACAGGCAGACAGACAGAAGAAAAATTAAAAAAAAAAGGTTGTTTTTATTATAATAGCATGCAAATAATCCCCTGAGCATAATACGTAGATCACTCAATAAGTTTTGAGATATACAAAAAGTATTCTAGATACTATTAATATTATTTGACTTCTTTTCAAAATATTTTCCATCATGCTCTGTACAAAGTTCCATTCGCCTAAACCAACTCTGAAAATACTTTTGCCAGTCTTGATCTGACAGGCCGGAAATCGCTTCTTCGTAGGCAGCCAGGACTTCTTCGGCGCTTGAAATAAACTTGCCTTTAATTTTTTCTTTCACCCTTGGAAACAAAAAGAAATCACAAGGAGATAAGTCAGGGTTGTAGGGTAGGTGACTTAAAGTTTCAACACCAGATTCCTCAATAAATGCTTTTGTTCTAAGGAAGGTATGTGAAGAGGCGTTATCGTGATTCACCATGATTCCCCAAAGCACGGTCTTTGGTCTTCTCTCCCGCACAGCTTGAAAAGCTTTGGGTAATGCAACTGTAGTATACCATTTAAAGTTGACTGACCTACAATTTTTGTCGTAAATCAGTATTGACGTCGACAAATGTCCGCTCAGCGCAAAAAAACTAGCCACCATTTCTTTGCCGACGTTGCGAGGTCTTTGCAGTTTTGTCGGTAACTGTTCTTCTGAGTAGACCCATACCGATGATTGCCTTTTATTTTCCGAATCATATTGATAGATCCATGTCTCGTCACCAGTAACGATTTCTGAAACACGCCTAGATGCCCCGTTTTCAAAACGTAGACGCATTTCATGGCACCAATCCACACGAGTCTGTTTTTCGCTTTCGGAGAGCAAACGAGGAATCCATCGACAACAAAGCTTCCTCACTCAAAGATGTTGATGTAGGATGGTATGAATGCTCCTCGAACTAACGCCTACAACCTTTTCGGTGTCCGTAAATGTGATTCGTGGTTCTTCTCGCACCAACATTTCAGTAGTCTATACATATTCTGCCGTTACTGCAGTTTGCGGGGCCCCGGTTCTTCGGTGATCTTTAAGTAATTTTACCTCTTTTGGATTCAGCAAACTACCTAAAAATTGTTGCACGTGATAGAGCTGAGTCTCCTAATGCTGATTGTAACCACTGTAAACTTAATTGTTCGGTTAAACCAAATTTAAAATCATAATATATCATAGCGCGCATATTTCATGGTTAAGATCCATCGTTTTAAATGAAAAGTGCGGGAAGCGTTGCAGGAAAATTAATAGAACTAAATAATAATTAATAACTAAATTGTGTAACTTTATGCTTTCTGGTAATGTTAATCCAAATTTCATTGCATTCTTATATGGGGCAAGATTATGTGCCTCCAAAAAAAGAATAACGGTATCCGTCCTGTTGCCGTTGGTTCCACATTTTGACGCTTAACTTCAAAATTAGCTTGCAGGCACATAGTCTCTAACCTTAAGACCAAATTTCAGCCTACTCAACTAGGCGTTGGCACTAGAGGTGGCTGTGAGGCGGCGGCACATTCAGTGCGTACATTTTTATCAAACTCTGATGCAGATGTTCTTATGAAGGTTGACCTAAGGAATGCTTTTAACTCTATCGATAGGGTAACCTTGCTGAAAGAAGTGGCTAACAATATCCCCGAAATTTATCATTACGTTTGGCAATGTTATAGTCAAAATACTAACTTGTTTTACGAAAACCATATTATCGATTCTGCTGTCGGTGTTCAGCAGGGTGACCCACTAGGTCCAGCACTTTTCAGTTTGGGAATTCAACCATTATTTCAAATTTGAAATCCAAGCTGAATGTCTGGTACCTGGACGACGGTACTCTGGGAGGTAGAGCAGATGACGTCCTCAGTGATCTTACTCATATTTTTCGAAATTTTAAAAATATTGGTCTTGAACCAAATAGCAATAAATGTGTAACATAATTTTAAATAATAAAGTAGACCTGTGCTTTGCTACGGAGGCAGGGCAGACATGGCAAACGATCTGTCTGGGTGAAAATGTTCCACTGGAAGTTAACCAACAAAAACAGTGGGATATTCCGTTGGTACAGGGCGTGCAGAAAGATTTGTTTCATAACTTCCATAGTGACCAAGATAAGGCACGCCTTCTAGCTGTTTCGACTAAGGAATCTAGTCACTGGTTACACGACTTACCATCAAGTAATCTCGGCATATTACTTGATGGGGAAAGCTTGCGCATTGCCGTAGGAATCCGACTAGAAGC